TGGCATATCAAATATGTCACGGGTAGCTTGCCAGGCAAATAAGTCAGGAGTAGCTGGCCAGGCAGGTGAGATACTCTCCGTAACTTGCCAGGCTCTCCAAGAGGGGGAGAGGAATTGAACTCGGGTCCACAGTGCGGGCCACGTGCAAAACAAACGCCCTACCCACTGTGCTATCTATCGCTCCAGCCCTGAAGGGACATCAGGCATCATATTTTCACTATCACTAGGGTGCCACATAAGAGATGACCACTAGGTGGCAGGCAAGCCGTGGTTTCAGTGTTCTTTTTATGATGGGGATGAGAGGAGAGAGGCCTCGATTATAATCTGGGGTCTGGAAAAAATGGGAGTTGATCATTTCATGCTCTAACAGATTAATGAAGACAGTTTAATTAAGAGATGAGTGGCAAGTGCAAGCTATAATTCCCTGGAAATGGTTTTCCCTGTGAAGATGATTATCTTAGCTTTGCTGCAAGATCATTTTCATTTTCACATCCAGAAAATAGGTGGAAAAAATGCTTTCAAATAATTAGGTTCAGGGAAATCAATTAGATAAGCACCAGTTCTATGTTAAGAAAAAGATTATGGGCAGATACTTCATGATGTCAAGGATCCTTGAATGAATGAAAAGTGGAGGATGGGGTAAAATTCCATCAAAGAAATGCCATAAAATGCTCTAGCCGGCAGACCCCGGTCAGATTCCTCCACCCCTCTCGGAGAGCCTGGCAAGCTACCGAGAGTATCTCGCCCGCACGGCAAAGCCTGGCAAGCTCCCCGTGACGTATTCAGTATGCCTAACACAGTAACAACAAGTCTCACGATGGAGACATTACTGGGCCCGCTCAAGCAGATCCAAGAACAACGGGTAGGACAGTGCTACAATGCTACAGCTCTAGCTTCAAAGGCTGGCTTCTTGGGGCTGGAGCAATAACACAGTGGGTAGGGCGTTTGCCTTGCACGCGGCCGACCCAGGTTCGATTCCCAGCATTCCATATGGTCCCCTGAGCGCCGCCAGGGGTGATTCCTGAGTGCAGAGCCAGGAGTCACCCCTGTGCATCGCTGGGTGTGACCCAAAAAGCAAAAAAAAAAAAAAAACAACAGAGGCTGGCTTTTCTCCCCGCACTCCCCCCCAACTTGCTTACATCTTTCTACAGCCTTGAGAGAGCTGGGAATTTCCCCTCCTAATCTGACATACTGGTATCAAATCATGACACATATTTTTCTGGCTAGCGTGTCTTTAAATTACAGAAGCACTCCTTCTAATGTGTCAAATAGTCTGAGCTCTGCTTATTTCCTAATTCATGCTGGTCCACCTTTAGCAGTTTTCTGTTTATCCTCTCAGTGATCTTTGAAGTATGTTTATGCAGTTCAAAGTAGCTCAGGAATCGGGACAAAGTTCCTGCATACACACAGACCTGAGTTTGATCCCAGGCACATCTCGGACCCTTTGCACCATTAGGATAAGCCCTGGAGGCCCCCACCACCCAGAGTGTGATTCCCGGAGTCCCTTGAACACTTGGGGTAGCATCGCTGGACCCTCCAAGCAGCACCACATCACACATCCCTATTACTGAACCAACTGAACCAACCAAAGTACTAGCATGAACCTTCTGTCCCAGCCGGCAGAGTGACACAGCCTTGGAACCCCGTGAGCATTACTTGGGAGGGCAAGAAATCATCCATTCATTTCAAATGCATTTGCACAGTTTTAAGGTGCATAATACTAATCATGCCATCATTTTCTAATGCAAATTGTCTTCCTTCTTTCCTCTCTTACCTGCAGGGAAATAGGAAGATGACACACGTACCAGTTCCCTCTAACATTTTAAAATCAGACTGCTTGATTTATTTTGTTATTGAATTGCGTTCCTTTTACTTTCGAATAGCAACCTCTTACAAGGTAGTTTGCAAGGATTTTCTCCCACCTATGGTTTTTAAGTTACCGTCTCATGTCCTTGTCTCTTTTGCAGTGAGGAAGCTTTGAAATTTAAAGTAGTCCCGATTTTTTTTTGTTGTTGTTGTTGCTTTCATTGCTTGACTGATCACTTGTATTGCTCCAGAATTCACATTGTGAAAGTTACATGAAAGAATAAACCACAGGAACTCAGATATGTGTGCCTATGTTTATTACACCATTGTTTACAATAACCAAAAGGTAGGGAAAGAGCAACCATCAATCAAAAGATGAATATATAAACCACATGTAAAGTATCCATACAAAGGGATATTTTTCATCCATAAAAGGGGATAAATTCTGATACATGCTATAAGGTGGATAAATCATGAAGATATTTAAGCAAAATAATACAGACACAAAGGGAAAATGTGTGGTTCTAATTACAAAAAATGAGGGGCCGGAGAGATAGTACAGTGGGGAGGGCAATTGCCTTGCACACGGCCGACCCTGGTTCAATCCCTGGCATCCCATATGGTCTCCCAAGAACTGTGAGGAGTAATTTCTGAGTGCAGAGCCAGGAGTAACCCCTGAGCATCGCTGGGTGTGACCCCCCCAAAAAAATCAAATTACCAAAAAAAAATAGGCAAATTCATAGAAATAGTAGATTAGAGATTACTATTATTCTATTAGAAATTGCGGTTGGGAGTGGAGGAATGGGGGTTATAGTTCAGTGGGTTCACAGTTTCTCTTTGGAATGATGAGTAAATTTTAGATGCAGACTGTTGGTGGTCGCACAGATTGTGAATTTATATAACTGAACAGTTTGCCTAAAAATGGTTAAAATGGAAGGTCTGAGAGATATTACAAAGGTTAAGACGCTTGCCTTACATGTAGCCAAACTTGCTTCAATTCCTGACACCATATATGTTCCCCCCTCCCCCCATCACCACCAGGAATGATCTCTAAGCACCACTAGCTCTGGCCCAAGTCCCTGCCCCCTGGGGAAAAAAAAGGTTAAAGTAGAAATTTCTCTGTTATATACCTATATTGCTACCTGTGTGAATGGGTGTATATATAACCTCAATTTTTAAAGTTTTAATTTGTAGCAGAAGACAATGCTTTGTGACATACACAGCAGGATTTCTGAAGCCAGCCAATCATAAAAGCATAAAGTAAAAAACAAAATAGATTGAAATAAAGGGTTTCTATTATTTACAAAACAGTTACAGTCACCAGGAAACCAGGAGATTGAGTGAGGAATCAATGTGATTTCCAGAACAAGGTAATGTCCTGGACATATGAGAGCCCGGCAAGCTACCGAGAGTATTCGATATGCCAGACACAGTAACAACAAAGTCTCCAATGGAGACGTTACTGGGCCCGCTCGAGCAAATCGACGATCAACGGGAGGGCCTTTACCTTTTACCTTTTATATTACCCCCATCACACGCCTTCTTAAGGCTTTAAATGGTTTTAACCCTGAAAATATATAAATGTATACTTTGAGGAGGTATGTGTTGGCAGTTTGCTTGACATTTGGAGGAAAAGTTGGCATGCCCAGTCTGCTCTGTGCTGCCTCTTGGGATCTCTCTAAGCTCCCCTGTAGGATTATCCCAGACTGAGTGATCCACTCTCCAAGAAATGTCCTGCTACAGATAACAAGGGATCCTGCAGTAAAGATATGCCTGTGGGAAGGGGGTCAAGTTCCTCTCAAAAGCTCATGAAAATTGGTTAGAAATATGGGCTTAGGAGACAGAGTCCCCACTTCTGAGATGTGTGACCACAGACCATTGCTTTCTTCCTCTTTACCTTGGTCTTGATCTCTGGGATCGCGAGACTACCCATCCAACATGATTTGGACAAGAATTCAGTTACTGGAGGTACAGAGAGCACCTAGAAATATTTGCAACGTAGGAAACACTTCATTTACAGGACTTATTAAGATGTTTTTACACGCTGGACACAAGAATGATGTGAAAGGAGGCAAACAGGAATTTATAGGTGGGGCCTTAGTCTACACTGCATTTTTCTGAATTATGGCTAATACTCCGTTAAATCTAAAATTCCTGCACACCCTGATAGGAAGTCAAGAGTTGTGTTTAATTATTAGGGTGTAAAGGAAATTGTGACACCTGTCTCCCTGCCCCTGTCTGAGGAGAAAGCAACCTGGTCTCAGATCTGTGTTAGAGTTTCAGGAGTACATGGAACAGAGATCCCTGGTGGAACAGAGGGACTAAAGACATTTGGAGGCATTGGACCCTACCTCTAGAGCACTCTTGTTTTTCATTAGTGGAAGTAGCTGGAGGGGAAGAATGACAGGAGTCAATATTTAAGTAACCTGAAAAAATTTTCTCCAATTTCTATTGTATTCCTACCTGCTTGGTCCTGTGAGCTCACAACACACTTCAGTGCCAAACCAGCCCAGGGTAAGAGTTCTGCAACACTCCGGGCAATGAATTAGAAATGATTGCTGATGACTCATACGCAAGAGCAATGAGAAGGACTGCTGGTGTAGTTTCCATTCAGATCTTTTTTTTTTTTTATCTTTTTGGGTCACACCCAGAAATGCTCAGGGGTTACTCCTGGCTCTGCACTCAGGAATTCCTCCTGGCAGTGCTCGGGGGATCATATTGGATGCTGGGAATTGAACCCGGGTTGGCCACGAGCAAGGCAAACGCCCTACCCGCTGTGCTATCACTCCAGCCCCTCCATTCAGATCTTAACCCTCTCCCACTCCTCACTCCTGTCCTGGCCCCACTCTGTATTAAAGAACAAACCTTCAGGCAGAAGCTTTCAAAGGTTCTGCACAAAAACGAGAATCAGTGCCTCTTTGTTTCCAGCAGCAGTTTTATTTCCATGTCATAATCTACTTAGTCACAGGACTACACAGAGTCTCTCAGAAACACCCACAGCCAACGAGAAGCCCACAGGGAGAACTCAGATATGAATGGACTTAGCTGACCCAACCGTCCTGGAGGCCAGGAGAGGACAGGCAGGAGCCTTTGAAGGTTAGCTGAGTCTTTGAAGAAACAGAAGAAAAGTCCAGGATCAAGGGTGAATTATCAGAGATACGGACAGACGGGGACTTTCACAATGGCAGGACTACAGCTCGCCTTCAGAACCATGGCCTTAGTGTGTTTGGGAATAACCTTATCACTTGTTGGAGTTGGCCCACTGGGTCTTCAAAGGCAAAGCAGCTAACAGTTGTACTAACTGAAATACACTAGGAGCAAAAAAGAAAAACATCTGGGGATTATGGGTTGATTTTCAGTCCAAGACACAAGGCTAGCTCAGACTTCTGGATTTTTCCATCCTTATTCACATCACAGTGACGCAAAAGGATCTCCCGGAACCTGTCCAGGTCGACTCCACTGATGCTGGGCTGAGGACAACAAAAATCACACGTTAATGGCAAGTTAATATGGTCCCATGCTTTAATCCCTCCCTGCGTTCACTAAGTTCTGGAAACCCCCAACTCTCTGAAACAGCTTCTAAGGAGGCCTGTCAGAAGGGAGACATTTTCTTCCTTCCACCAAATGTGATTAAGCTTAAGCTTTCTGCCAACAGGTTCCTTTCTTGGCACACCTCTACAGGTAGAAGAACTCTCAGGTTCAGCAGAAAACTCAAAGTTTTTCTTAGCCCACGTTAATCCCCTTCTGTTCTTGCAGAAGGCCTGCTTTTTTGTTTATTTGGTTTTTGCTTTTTGGGTCAACACCCAGCGATGCTCAGGGATTCCTCCTGGCTCTGCACTCAGGAATTACTCCTGGCGGTGCTCAGGGAACCATATGGGATGCTGGGAATCGAACCCGGTCGACCATGTGCAAGGCAAATGCCCTACCCGCTGTGCTATCGCTCCAGCCCCCAAGGCCTGCTTTTTTAGCAAACATAATAAAGATATTTTACCTAAAGCAGAGGATCAACACTACAAATTTTGTCCAGCAACTGACAAGGGAAGATGTAGTCTACTGTCTCCCCATGAGAAGATTTCTTGTATTAAAGTGGGGTTATAATGGGTGACATCTAATTGAACCATTGTGTGATTGAGCTACGAATGTCAGAATTATTCCAAGGAATACTTTCGGGGATAAGAAGGAATTGTGCTGCATGTCTACTAACAAAATATTTTAGGCTCAAAGGTTTGCAAAAGTGAGCAATGTTTGAATCAAAGGATTCTGCCTAGGTTTATTTTAATTATTGCAAACACCTTAAGAGGTAAAGAATTACCTCCTGTCTACAGATCAAGAAACCAAGACTCATCTGAAAGGAATTCAGATGCTTTCTTACACACAGCTGACCCTGGGTTTGATCCCCAGTACCACATCGGTCCCTGAGCACAGACAGAAGTTATCCCTAAGCACTGAATCTAAAGTAAGTTCTGAACACTACCAGGTGTACCCCCATCATCCCCCACACACACACACACACAAAGGAAAAAAAACACAGACTGGAAAGGATCAGTTTGGGCTGGAGAAATATTTCAGAGGTCAAAGTACTTGCTCTGTATGCAGCCAAACCCAGTTCAATCTCCAACACCATATAGGGGTCCCCGAGCATTACCAGGAGTTATACTTGCATATAGAAGCATCAGGAAGCTCTGGGCACCAGAGGGTCTGCCCCCAACCCCAATAAAAAAAAAAGGTGGGGAGGAAACAAACTAAAAGAGCTCTGGAATATCTTGCCAAGCTAGAAATTTGTGGCACCAAATGAAAAGGCTACAGAGGTCATGGCACATGCCCAGGATGCACGAGACCCAGGTGCAATCTCCAGCACCACTGGATGCCTTAGCATTGTCGGGTGCACCCTGAAGACCCACTGAGCACTGTTGGGTGCCCTGGGCCCCTCAAGATCTGTGTCCTCAGTCCCTGACATTAAATCACTGGCCCCAAATCACTGGGAGGGGTCTTAGGGACCCCAAAACACTGCTTGGGAGTCTCATCTCCGTCCCCTCAAAAAGAAAGTTGCAACACCATTATTGATTCACATTTCTGCGGTGAAGTGCCTTCAGCTGTTTGTTCTCATAAGGAAACAGCTGAATGAAATTCTGTGAATGGTCATGTTAGAAATGGAAAAAAAATAAGAGGTTGGAGAGACAGTACAGCAGGTAAGACACCTGCTACTATAGCAGAATTGGCTGATACCTACATTGAGATGTTCCCTTTTATGACGCTTTTATAATCTCCTTTTATAATACCACAGAGGTGGCATGAGCCTATGAAAGGCTGAGGCAGATGAGTCCTGTTCCCAGGTCATGGTGCTGAATAATCTAGAATTTTTCCCTTTTTTTCTATCCCCCCTTTAATTGATGTGCCATGATTTACAATATTGTCAATGGTAGTTTCATGCATACATCATTTCCCACCCACTTCCCTCCATCAATGTCCTACAAACTCTTCCCTTCACCCTTCCCCTTCTCATCTCCTTCAGAGAAACTCTGAAATTCCTTTGGAGATTCCTATAGATCAAGTCTCCAGTTCCATTGCCTCTGGCCATCTGGTGCTCCCTCACTTTTTATATCCCACATATGAGAGATCATCCTGTCTCTGTCCCTCTCCTGACCACTCAGCATGATCCCTCTAGTTCCAACCATGAAGCAGTAACTTGCATGCTTTGACGTTTTTCTCAGAGCTAGTATATTCTCTGGAACAGTGGTCAACTCTTCCATCATCTTCCTTTGGAAACCACTGGCAACTGAACAGTCTCTAAAGATCTGAGCCTCTGCTTCTGCACTCGGATAATCAATAATCAGCTCCTACTCCCCTGCAGAGAGCAGTCCAGCAAGCTCTGAGAATGCAGGCTGGTCATCCCATCACTCTATCCGAAGCCAATTAAACCTCCAGTGTGGCAAGATCGTCCGTTGTGCAACTCTAATGTCCCAGAGACCATTGCTCCACTTCTATTACACAAGTTATTCTGGCATGAAATAGATATAGTGAGTCAAATGGGATTTTCCTTTAGTCAGCAATATAAAAAGCAATACCACACCTGCATCCATCAACTCTTCTGGTTGTGCAAGAAATCTTCCATGGGAGCAACAATGTGTGAGGGCAACAGAGGGAAGGAGGAGGCAGGATGGGAGTAGAACAATGGGGAGTCAAAGGAATGGATTAGATGTCAGGGGGGAATTAGAAACACAAGCTTCTCTATGCCTGTTCCATCACAGTATATAAACTTCCGGAAGTTTATTGTTGGATTTGGGGTGCATGGGGAGAATGGGGCATCTCCCAAGCAGTGCTCAGGAGACTTGAGGGAGCCCTTCCCAGGGATTCTTAGTGGGTCAATAGGTCAATACAGGGGCTGAGGGTGTTGTGCTGAGTGGCCCCTTCACTGCTGAAGACAGGGCTGCTATGGAGGTGTTCGGGACTTCCACTGTGTGGAAGTGGCCATGCTCAGAGCCCTTGGCTGGCACCAGGCAATGTGCCTGACCCTGGGCAGCATGAGCAGAAATCTGGCCTCCCAGATGCAAAGCAAGAACTCCAGCCCTTTAACTTGTCTCCTGGTTCACTGGTTAATAACTGCCACCCAAGTTCTTTGCATCAAGTCCAATCAAGACACAATCATTGTGTCCTATAAAAGCCTGAAAGTTCCCTAAGCATATGAGACTACCAAATTTAATGGGAACAGATTCAGAGAAAAGGAGGAGCTAGAAGATCTCAGTGGAACTGGATCCTGTAGCAAATCAGAACCACTCATCAGAATCTGAAAAGAGATTTCTGATGTCTCCAGAAAAGAGATACTAGCCAAGGACACAGCCCTGGCCACAACAATGTCATGATAGATAACTAGTAATTTTAGGTGAGAAGCTCAATGAAAAATAAAGCGGGCAAGGGAACAGTAAATAGGTTAACCCTGGTTCAAACTCCAACACTCTGTGTCCCCACCAGCATCTCTGGGTGAGGTCCTGGAGCCCTTAAGCATTGCTGGGGTGGCCCTGGGAGTTCATGAATCCTGGCGGCATCACATTCTCAGGCTCTAGCACCAACCAGCCAACCTGGTACCAACCATCACAAGGAGTGACCCCTATACCCCCCTAAGCACCAGTTGGGAGTCTCCTCTAAAAAAAAATAAAGTCCCAAATTGGTCCTATAAGATTCCAAATGAGATTTAAAATATTACATTAATTTTCTAAATGATTTTAATAACCAAGTATAGGTTTAGAAAAAAAACTTGGGGGGCTGGAGAGATAGGACAGTGGGTTAAGGCTGGCTTTGCACTTGGTCATCCAAGGACCCCATATAGCTCCTCCAAACCCCTTCAGCAGTGATAACTGATCGCACATCCAAGAATAAGTACTCAGCACAGCTGGGCACGGCCCAAAGACAAACAAAAAAGCCTTTGAGCAAAACTTAAAGTGATAAGACATATAATAGCCTTGTGCTGCTTTGGGAAAATAAATGACTTCAATGAGGGCAAAAGAAGCATCTGTTGGGACAACATATGATTGAAATTACAAAGGCACTAAAGAGAGATGGGAAGGTTTCCTGGGTTCCACAGTAGCTCAAAGTTTGTTAAATATACTACATCTTAGATTTGTTTTCTTTCTAGCATTAACCTTCAAACCTACAAATTCCTCTCAAAATAGCCCAACGCTTGGTGGGAATAATTTGCTCAGACTCCTGACATCACCTGGACCAGCTCCATCATGTCTTTGACAAATCCATCCACTTCCGGGCCTTCAAGAGCACCCGTTTTACTCTGAAAGAGAAAAGATCCAATTAGATAAATGTCTTTTTTTTTAAAAGTCAAACAACTTAAGAGTAAATGAGGCAAATAAACCAAATCAATATTCTTCAGTGGATGTAGGCAAGTTCAAGAGTGGCACACTTCCACTTAAGTTCTCTGGGTGGCATGTGAAGACTCCACATAAATTAAGAGAATTCTTTGTAAATAATTCTCTCCATGTGACCAAATGGGAAGCAGAAGTTTTGAGTCTTTTGGCTTTTGCATAGAGCAGTAACATGACATCTGCCGAATTTGTTTGCAGCTCAAATGCCAGGCTTCAATTCAGACAAGTGTTAATTGCACATCATATTGATCCTTCAAAGAATAGATTGACTTTTTCAATTTCTTGCTTCATGATTTAGCAGTGAGTTGGTAATTATTAAAACGCTATTTTAATTCAAACAAGACTAGATGTAATGTGCATATTGGAATTATATAGCTCAATGTAAATCCATTTATTTTTCTACCAATTTATCATAATACTTATAAAATGCTTATGAAAATATTTTCACTTCTCTCACATTCCAATTGGGACAATTCATTTATTCTCTTCATGGTTTCTTGATCTTGAAAATCTAAATCTTGGGGCTGGAGAAACTGTACAGCAGGTAGGGTGCTTGCCTTGCACATGGCCAGCCCAGGTTCTATCCTTGGCATCCCATATGGTTCCCTGAGTGCCACTAGGACTGATCTCTGAGTGCAAAGCCAGGAGAAACCCCTCAGCATCACCAGGTGTGCATCCCAACCCCCCCCCCCAAAAAAAGAAAAGCAAATCAAATTCTTGAAAACCTTTAATGCAAAGTTTTAAAAATTGATTCTCTTAGAGAACAGAGGGGGAATGCCCTGTCACAGAGGCAGGGTGGGATGGTGGGCATGAGGGGTGGGCTGGGAGGGATACTGGGATCCATGGTGGTGGGAAATGGTCACTAGTGGAGGGATGGGTATTTGATCATTGTATAATTGAAACCCAAGCATAAGTCTGCAACTGTACCTCATGGTGTCTCACTAATAAAAATTTTTAAAAAAATTGATTCTCTTAGCATAATTACCAAACACTAATAGAGCACTGTTACATGCCAGGAACTTTTTATTTGCCAGTATTTTACAAATACTCATTTGTAAAATTAAATATTTTACAGATATGAATTTATTTTAATCTCATACAACTCCATAAGATAGGTTATGCCTAATCACCTCACTCTCATTTTTTTAGAATAAGAGTGGCACTTGAAGTTTAAGGACCTGAACAAGGTCACATAGCTACCAAGCTGTTACTCTATGTAATTGGTCACAGAGGCATATAAACACTTTGCAATGTACTTCTCCCAGTGATGGCCTTTTCTCGCTCATATACCTGGTACAATTGATTTCAGGATATCTGATGACCTTTTCCAACTTTCTCTTTGTTTACTTTCCTTATTAAATTACCCTAACCTCAAAAAATTCCATCTCTTTGTTATCCTGTGTGCTTCTGAGAAAGGTATTGGTTAATACCTAGTAAAAACTTTGCCTGTTCTTTGGATTAAAAGCAGTTTTTATTCACGGATTGCTTTTGAATATTGAACATGCTCTATTCTCGATGGAAACAAAGAAAGAGAAACGCTCCCCAAAACTGAATAGAAGAAACAATAAAAGCACTGAGAATGTATTCCCTTCACAGTGATTAAACCCTCCTTTGTCCATTTTGTACTTAAGTGTCACATATAAGTTGTTACACTCAGATGATGAAGGTACCCTGACAGAACAACGCATTTATAGTCACTGGGTAGAACAGTCCTCTCTTGGGTGGTAAACAAGCTTCCTTCCTAAAAATAGTCAGCACACTATGAAAGGAACACTTACGACATCGTAGTGGGCAAAGATTTTCTCAAAGTCCCTCTTCCTTTCTTCAGTGGAACAAGCCTATCCAAGGAAAAAGCAGTATGGGAGTTGTCAATAGTACATTTCTTTCACTGTCCTAAACAACTCTGAGAAACTCTGCAGCAAATCCCCTAATCCCTTTATTTCAGTGGATGTTTGTCAGTCTCCAGAGAATTTAAAAGGCAAGACAAATAGATACCTTTCTATTTCCTTTCTTCCTTCCCTCTAAGCACTTGAGAAACATGAATGACATAACCCTACCTTGAGAAATGTCACTACTCACATCCATTTTAAACTGGAGAAGGAAGTTTTCTTGAAGAGCCAGAATCCTAAACGGGGGTTTGGGGTGGGGGAAATAAAGCAATCCACTTAATGATCTGTGAGTTCATCCTTACAAGCAAATTCACAACTCTGGTCAGAGGAAGGGGCAGAAATTCCCAAATTATTCTGAAAAATGGATAAGTTCTTGAATCATAGAAATTTGTAATTATAAAAATAATTAAAGAAAAAAATAATTAAAGAAACCAAAAAGACTTTCATAGAGATTAGTGGAGACACACTGAAAAATTTCTCCTGGAAATAGCTAAAATGGGGCTTATGAAAAGTCTATCCTTCATAAAGACAACAAGAGAAATGACTCCAGACCCCGCAACAGGGGCACCCCAGAGGGGGACAGGTGAGCCAACCACCCACCCAAACAAAGCTCCTGCAACTAAAAACCTCCAGAAACCAATCACCCACCCTGCTCACAGTCAATTTCCACAACCTCTAGACGACACTCACTCATGAGAATGAATCTGCTGAAAAACTCAGGTGTGCAGGTTTTGTGACCAAAATCTCCAGGCTCTCACAGAGTAAGGTATGAGAGACCTCCCCCCAACTCCCTGTTCTTCTGGGAGTCTGGTAGTCACACCTATGAACTGCCTCTGGCACTATATAAGCTCATTAATAGACAGGATCCAGAGACTCACAAATATATCTCAGAAGAGAACCACAAGCTGCAAAGATGCCTCCATACCCCACAGTCACCATCCAGTTAAAATTTTAACTCCAGCTGTATCACCCTATTTAAAATTTTAGAATTCCTGGAGTGCACAGCTGCGTTCGCAGCTGTGAGACGTCTCATATTCTACCCCAATGATATAAAAAGAGTAGTACACTACATTTGATGGGGTGTAAAGTAGAAGACAACCTATTTAGATCAAATATATATACATATATATAATATTAGCACACAAGGATCAACCTGTAACAATATATTAGTCATCTCTTATATAAGGGCTTAATGGCTTCAGGGTGAGATATAACAATCTTCACATGCTTTCTTCTAAAGAAAATTTTTTGAACCATTTATTCGCAGATTATTTATAACAAGAAATAAAAAAATAAATTACTGAGGGCCTACTATTGGGGCAGGCTTGGCTGGTGATTGGGAAAATTCTAAATAATGTTGGTGGGAAGGTGTGATGGTGGTGGGATTGGTGTTGAAATATTGAATGTAATAAATTATTGTGAATAACTTTATAAAAAACTTTTTAAAAAGTTAAAAACAAGAAAACTGGGGGCTGGAGCAATAGCACAGAGGGTAGGGCATTTGCCTTGCACGTGGCCGACCCAGGTTTGATTCTCAGCATCCCATATGGTCCCTTGAGCACCACCAGGGGTCATTCCTGAGTGCAGAGCCAAGAGTAACCCCCGTGCACTTCTGGGTGTGACCCAAAAAGTAAAAAAAATAAAAAACAAAAAAAAAACAAGAAAACTGACCCTCATTTAACAGAATAATTTTTTTTTTCAGAACTCTGAAAATTAACCACTGGGTTGCAGATACCTGGGAGTGTTAATTCGGGGGGTGGGGAGTTTGAAAAATTTTTAAACTAGATTTTGTGAAGAATAATGGACTTTGCAAGATTTAGGGTACCCCATTCCTCTACCTCCTCAAGCTCTGTGGGACCCCTGAAAATCAAAGCACACAATTCTATCAGCTTATTAGAGACTGGAGCAGACAACAGGCTGGCATTCTTTCAGCTGAGTTCCCATCCACCGGCCATGATTTGCTTCTTGATGTTTCTCTTGAAGAGCCCATTTGCAAGAGTGATTTTAAACTCACCTAGTGGGAAAAACTTTGACTTATGGACATTTGTGGGAAAAAAATCAGAAGCAACTGTTGAAAATCTCAGCTCTGTCAAAGTGTTAGGTAAGAGTATTGGGGTAAATAGGGCCAGAGTGAAAGTACAAGTGGGTAGGGTATTTGCCTTGCACAAGGTCAACCCAGTTCAATCCCTGGCATCCCATATGGTTCCCTGAGCACCGCCAGCAGTAAATCCTGAGTGCAGATACATTCTGCTTACCTTGCCATGTCATTAAGATCCAACCTCCCATCATTGTTTTTGTCAAAGATCTTCATCTAAAATAAAAGAAGGGAAAATGGCTGTAAAAAATTCATATCATATATTTAAAACAATTATAATATGTTTGCCTTTTCCTTCCTGGTTATACATTTATCTAAATTGGTTGAAGTTGATACATCTCTTAAGAGCACTTCTTCTAGGTTATGGAAGATATCCTCGTTTCCATCAAAGACAAAATTTATTGAGATGGGTATTTAGTGGGCAAAGATTTGCCTCCTTAAACCTCAGAGGAGTATAAGAAGAAAAAGAAGAGGGAGAGGCAAAGAGGAGAATAAAATATATAGCTGTGGCGTTGGAGATATATAGTTCAATAGGCTGAATGCACACTTTACGTGCAGGAGTCCCAGATTCTATCTTTGGCATCAAATGCTACTCAAAATTGATTTGAGTTAGAACAGAACAGTTTACCCATCAGGGGTGGTTCTAGTGGGACGTGGCATTGCCAGACCCAAGCTGTACCTCATCCCCAGGCCCAAGCACAAGACTATCGAGCCCATGTAGACTGCTTAAGTATCATTGGGAGTGGTCCTGGGGCCTCCTTAATATTTCTGTGAAGTCCTACCCTCCGAAAATGATTTAGAGATTCACTCCCATACTATTAATTGCCAATTAACAACATACGGGGCGGTGTGCAAGAAGCTTCAGAATTATTAAGGAGGTGCATGCTCTTAGGAGCTTAGAATATAATTGGGAAGACAGAAATGAGTGTTTGGACTCTATGACCTGAGAGAGAGAACGAGAGAGAGAGAGAGAGAGAGAGAGATAACTGACTGAAAAGATCAGGGAGTAGATGGGACTTCAGATAACTTCTGACAGAGGAGTTAGATTAAAAGAAAGGAAGCCACTGTTGGCAAATGGGGTAGGAGCAAAAGCATCTTACTTACAGCAATGGAGTGTGGCCAGAGAAGTATTGTGGGGAATGAGAGGAAAAGGAGAGGGAGAGAAAGAGGGAGAGGGGGGAGGGAGGGACGGAGGGAGGGAGGGAGGGAGGGAAGGAGGGAGGGAGGGAGGGAAAGAGGGAGGGAAGGAGGGAGGGAAGGAGGGAGGGAGGGAGGGAAAGAGGGAGGGAAGGAGGGAGGCAGGGAAAGAGGGAGGGAGGGAGAATACAAAATTTTGGAAGTCACAAAAAGGAGTCTGAACTTTTGTAAACTCCTAAGCAGGTGAATGGTATCATTCATTCATTTATTCATATATTCCTTCAACATATGTTGGGTATTTACTATATTCCAGACCCTGTTATATTTACTGAACAGATTCTGCTCTCAGAAAGCTGATTTTCTGGATAAATAAAGCACTAAAAAGTAATCAACAGAAAAAGGTAAAACATTAATTGTGCCTTGCACACGGCCAACCTGGATTCAATCCCCGGCATCCCATATGTTCCCCTGAGCAGAACCAGGAGTAACTCCTGAGCAGCACTGGGTGTGGCCCCAAAACAAAACAAAAGCCCTTAACCTCATCTAAATAAATCTCTGTTGTTGAAGTCTCAGATTTTAATTCTTTTTCAATAGGTCAAGTTCCGTGCTCTAATTAGGTACGTGAACTTCACATCCTCCGCCTGTATCAGCTTACTTATTTTAAAAGCTCAATATGATCAGACAAGAGTCTATTCAGAGAGCTAATCTTTCTCCTGCTGGGTGTTAGCAGCGTCTCTCAATTAGATGTCATAGTTGGAGTTCATTAATAGGCTCTTTCCCTCTTGTGTTGTCCAGAACATTAATTAAGAATCCAAATAGGCCGAGCCCTGGAAACCTCACCATTCTGTTCTGATTGAGTCTCCTTTGACTCACTCATTGTTCATGTGCCACAGTTTCTAATGTGCCCATCCCTACTTGGGTTAATTTGAACTCATTTAGTAGGTTTCATCTATTAAGTAAGGCATGTGATGCTAAACCTTAGAAGAAATCTTTAATGCAGTGTTTCCATGACTGTGCAGCGCTCAGTAATGACCCATTTAAGGAGCAGTAAGCATCCCTCAGTGCTCAATAAAGAACCGTTGAAGGAGTAGTTAAGAGTCCCTGGGTTTTCAAGGACAAGATGAGACTCACATGTCTGGAGCCAAGTAAAGGATAAGACAACACAGGACCAGACACTGCAGGCTTCCCAGGACACCTTGAAAACAGGGGTTCTGAGTGTCAATGAGAAAGGAAGCCCTCAAAGGACCTGAAGCAGAGAATATAGCATAGAATATTATGATCTAGAAACTGTATTGAGAAGAGTTTGAAAAGGATCAGGAGGGAATCAAAACGCCTTGTAAGAGATCATTATGCTCAGGTTGTTGAGAGAAGATGATGATCTTCTCTTGACACCAACAGAAGTGATTTCTGAAAAGTTTCCTGATCTTTCAAAAGCAGACAGATCACAATAAACAACAACCCTAAAGCATCAGCAAAGTCAGGGCAAGAAAGATAGTCAGATGATAGAGTGCAAATTAAATTATCTTGAACCATCTTGTGAACTGAATTGTAGTATTTTGTTTTCGTTGACACATAGCCAGTGGTTATTCTGGTCATGCATGACCATTGTGTGTTTGCTTCGTGATGAGTTCTATGCAAAATATTTTTCATACAGAGAAACCCAAAAATTTCTTAGTCATTCCACATGTTCACGCTCCACTTTTTTCACTCACTCTGTTCTCATCACACTGTTAACTAACACTTACTGTTGCTTACTATGTCAAGTATGTGCTGCCACAGTCCTTTTCTCTCAAGTCTCTGTCCCATGTATCTCTGAATATTTTACCAGAGATATGCATATAATCCCATCAACGGCCAAGACCAGAGACTATAAAACCCAGCTCCCAGAAGAGAACAGCGCAGAGTCTCCTGCCCCTGGGCCTGGCTGTCCTCACGGGAACCCTTTGGAGGGGGAGGGTTGTGTTTCCCTCCCTACCCCGAGAAGAGCCCCGGCAGTTGAAGACCTCCAGAACCAGCCACAGCCATGTTGAGACAACTCTCCATACGTCCAGACAAGCCTCATGCATGAAGGAACCGGCAGAGGAACCCAGGCATGCGGGTCCCAGAGCTGAGATCTCCAAGCCTGCTCGGATAGGGGTTGAGCATCCTCCACCCAGATCCCCCATCTTCCAGTAGGTAGGCGTCACACCTACCAACTGCCCCCAGCGCCAGGTAATCCCATCAACAGCCATGACCAGAGACTATAAAACCCAGCTCCTGGAAGCGCGCGGTCGCATTTGTGGCCACACGACATCTTATTATCTTGTTCTTACTTTGGACAACCCAGCAGGCTACCGAATCTATCCTGCCCGCATGGCAGAATCTGGCAAACTCCCCGTGGCGTACTCAATATGCCAAATACCAGTAACAATGATGGGTCTCATTCTCCTAACCCTGAAAGAGCGTTTCTCAGGGCTGGGACAAAGGAGACGTTACTGGTGCCTGCTCGAGGCAATTGACGAAAAACAGGATGATTGTGATCGTGATTGTGATGCATATAATTTGTCTCACCTCTTCGAAGCTTTTACTCTAAAACCACACCAGTGCTTTTTGTTATCATCCTATTAAAAATTGTACCTTCAAATCATGAATATACCGAGTACTCATTTTTTCTCCATAGCATTTGGTGTAGTTTACATGTTACATAAATACATAATATATCGAACATACATGTAGCATATATGTCATCTATAGTTCTAAGAGCTTTCCCTGACCACTCCTTTCCAATCTGTCATCCTAGTTAGCCTAATGGCATGCCATTCCTTGCCCCACTCTACTTGTCATTGCTTAATTAACAGTACTGACCCTCTGTGATGCAACATAATTTATGATGTGTTATGTTTAGCACTTTTTATTGTCTGTCTTTCCTTTGTCTATTCTGCTCACTACTGGATTTCTGTGCCTTGCCATAGACTGTACTCACGAAGTCAGTGGTTGAATGCTATGTTAAGACAGTGATTTGGATCCATTCTAAAGAAGCCTGTGGAAGACTTTCTAGGGCAAGGAGATATTTAACTAAATTTTGGTGTCAGAGCAAAAACTAAATGAAGGGCCAGAGAGATAATATAGTGGTTAACACTCTTGCCTGGCACTGCATATGGTCCCTCTGATTGCCACCAGGAAAGATCCCTGAGCACAGAATGAGGACTAAGCCCTTAATACTGCTAGGCATGGCCCCAGAACCAAAATAAAATTAAAGTAAAAAATTTGAAAAGTAGGGGGGCTGGAGTGATAGCTCAGCAGGTAGGGCGTTTGCCTTGCACTCTGCTGACCTGGGTTCGATTCCCAGCATCCTATATGGTCCCCTAAGCACCACCAGGAGTAATTCCTGAGTGCAAAGCCAGAGTAACCCGTATACAACACCAAGTGTGGCCCAAAAAGCAAAAAAAAGATTGAAAAGTAGGAATAATACATGAGTTATGCTTAAAAGTCAGAAATTACTGTTCTCTTTTATGAGTGGTAGGATGCCTCTCAGAGTGAAAGACATTGAAAAAATTCCAGGAAGCATGCTCAAATATTTCATTTTGTATGATTTGTTTTATAAGGTAACAGAATTGAGACAAAAAGAACCAGTGCTAACATTAAGTGAGTACCAAAGAAGTTTCAGCTAGAAAAATGATCTGCCATTATTCTATTCTCTAGGCATTTTAAACCTAATTCACAATATTATATATCATGATATATAATATTCATGTTACGAATATATTAATCGTGTTATACATTTTCTTAGAGTGCTTCACTCAAAAGGAACTCAGAGTTTTGTTCGTAGCTGGGAGATGACTTCTTGTTTCCAGGGGATTTTCCACTTGACTCTTTAATGCAGAGCATATATTTACTTAATATTTCACACAGCATTTTGCATGCTATTAAAACAGATCAATATAGAAAGAAGTCAAATTATTGCCTTAATTGAGATCCGGTAGTAGGATTTGTCTCTGTCCTTGGCATCAGCTTTACTGCTGTCAGGTCATTTGCAAGCAGTTATGGTCAAGAGCACTTTTTCTCCTTTCCAGAACCCTCCCCCTGTCTGAGGGCAACATTCCAAGTGGCCCAGAGTGAAAGTCTGAAAGGGTCCGGAACTGAAAACTAGGAGAACTCAGCTTTCAGAGGAACTGGGGCTTTGGCTGTGTAACAACTTTCCCAGTCATCTGATCTTTAAAAGGAGGCTAGGAATTCCATTCGATGCCCTAAGACGCAACCAACAGGTCTCTAAAATAGCATGAATAAAGCTAATGGTGATTAGAAATAATAGAGCAGTTGGAAACACCAAAGTCCTGCATAAGGAGTTCAACCTTATAAAACACACTTGAACATATCCTCAACTATTCACCAGAAGGTTTGGGAAGGTGAGTCCATTCAATAACTCTTACTATAATATATGTAACAATTTGATCAGTAAACCTTTGGTAGAAAAGTTCTTGCTTATTAAGAAAACTACAGAGCTTTTTTATAGTAAAGCAAACACAGGGAAGAAGAAAGGACTTGGAGGGAGGCAAGAACGTCAAGGGGTCAGATCTAATTCGATGTAAATTGTTGATTAGTGCTGAGAGAAGTGTACGACATTAGGTATTGAAACGGAATATGGGATGAGTTCACTAAAGAAAATTTCTCCCATTCTACCCTTTCCTGGGAATTTTGACACTGAAACAACCAGAGTCATTTAATACCGGTTTGAGTGAAATCATAAAGAGGACAGCAACACCAGTGTAATCTGACCACCCACTCACTCGTTACTATAGAATCTTCCAGATGTAATTGAGTCATCTATAAAATTGGCTAATATATTTTATTTTGCTTTTTGGGTCACACCCGGCAATGCTCAGGGGTTACTCCTGGCTCATGCACTCAGGAATTGCTCCTGGCGGTGCTCGGGGGACCATATGGGATGCTGGGAATCGAACCTGTGTCAGCCATGTTGGCTGCGTGCAAGGCAAACGCCCTACCCGCTGTGCTATTGCTCCAGCTGCCAAAATTGGCTAATATTAACCCCCCATCTTACAGACAAAGCAAATAAAGTTGACTGGCTTGACAATTTCCCAGAGTCTGAGCAGGAGAGTTAAGGTGCTCGATTTAAGAAGGAAAGCACCTCCCATAAAGGGAGGCTGGGGTGGGCGGTGGGATGATGGGGGATGGTGGGAGGGAAACAGGGGACATTGGTGGTGGGAAATGTCCACTGGTGGAGGGATGAGTGCTGGATCATTATATGACTGAACCCAATTATGAACAACTTTTTAATGGTCTATCTCGTGGATATTCAATCTTAAAAATTTTCAAGAAAAATAATGTGGAGTTCATGCCCAATTCAATCAGCTTAATCAATTAAAAAAATCATTTAAAAAAAGTGCTTGCTTATCTTGCATGTGGCCAATCCAGATAGCATCTTCAGCACCAGATACGGTTCCACAAGCCACAAGCCCCCACAAAACTGAGTATAGACCCAGCTGAAATCCCTGAGCATCACAGGGTTTAAGTAAATAAGCCGCAGCCCTTTTCCCCTAAAAGCCAGTTTCCCAGGGTCATAGGTTACAATGGCAAAGACCATTGTACACATCTCCTATCTACCCTGACTCAGCTCTAAATCAACACCCAAAATACACAGACTCATCCACCATGCTCAGAGATGCCTCCCATATGTTCGATCCTGATTGTTTGAGTCCATGTTTGCTGACTTTTATGTGACTGATTAGCAGCAAGGTTATTGGCCTGGTGCTTAGTAACTTCATGTTGGCTGGACTTTCCACACCTCCAGAAGGACAGATGAACAGCTTTCTCTCTCAAGTACATGCATTTGCACCCCAGGAGATGGGGGCTGGAGCAATAGTACAGCGAGTAGGGAGTTTGCCTTGCACACGGCCGACCCGGGTTCGATTCCCAGCATCCCATATGGTCCCCTGAGTACTGCCAGGAATGATTCCTGAGTGCAGAGCCATGAGTAACCCCTGTGCAACGCCGGGTGTGACCCAAAAAGAAAAAAAAAGAGGCAGTTCCATTGTAATCTATGATTTTCAGAGCTAAGGTTTTTATTTACCCGAAAACACTAATTGAGCACCTACTCGTTGCTGGACCCTATTTCTGGGACCCAAAGAGGCAGAAGGGGACCGTGCTCAGGAAGATCATCAGTTGATTACTTACCATAGTGCCAGTATACTCCTCCAGCTTAGTCTCAGAAACAACCTTCTTGTGGTGGAGGAAAAGGTCTCGGAGGAAGTTCTGGGGCACAAAGAGAAGACTTGCATTGTACATGATGAGTAAGTCAGAATGGCTGGAAATGATTTTTAGCATTGTGGTTTGTTTATTTTAAAAGAGGAAACACAAAGTTTTTAGCAAGCAATAAATCCAAGAACTGAGGGCTATCACAGTGGGGAGGGAGCATGAGGAATCCAGAGACAGTTCGAAGTATGAAACAAAGTACTCTAGGACCAGAGCAATAGTACAGGGGGAAGGGAATTTGCTTTGAACACAGCTGACCCAGGTTCAATACCTCAGCCCCTTCGGGAGTGATCTCTGGGCCAGGAGTAAGCCCTGACAACAGCTGGGTTGGCCTCAAATCAATAAAATAAAATAAAATAAAAGACGCCATTGGGCTACACTAGCACGTGACAGGGACAAATGGAGACATTACTGGTGCCTGCTCGAGCAAATCGATGAGTAACGGGATGTCAAGTGATCAAAATAAAATGTACCATAAATCTTCACAGTGGTAAGGCAATTGCCTTGCATGCGACTGACCTGAGTTCGGTTCCTCCATCCCTCTCGGAGAGCCCGGCAAGCTACTGAGAGTATCTGGCCCGCACGGCAAAGCCTGGCAAGCTACCCATGACGTATTTGATATGCCAAACACAGTAACAAGAAGTCTCACAATGGAGAGGTTACTGGGCCCACTTGAGCAAATCAATGAACAATGGGAGGGCAGTGCTACAGTGCTACCATAAATCCTCAGTTATGTCTCTTTTCCAGAGAGAACAAGGTCACTTGCATTTTCTAAACCTTCTAACTAACTAAAACTAAGGCGTTCCCTTTTTGGGAGGAAAGGGGGAGCAGTTAGAGGGGTCACACAGCTGGCAATGCTCAGGTGATCAGGGCTTAGTCTGGCTCTGCTTAGGGGTCACTCCTGGTGGTCTTGGGGGAATCATATAAGGTGCCAGAGATCCAGCCGTATACAAGGCAAACACCCTACCTGCTGTATTATGACTCTGGTCCCAAGGAGTTCTTTTTAAGCAATAAATTCAAATTGGGTCAAAGGATAGTATAAAGGTTAAGGCACTCTGACCTTTAGCTAGGATCCGGGTTCAATCCCATTACTGCATAGGGTCTCCCGAGCACTGAACACAGAGTCAGGTGTGATCCCTAAGCACAGAGCTAGAAGAGGCTCCTGAACACTGCCAGATGTGTCCCAACAAACAAATAATTAGTTAAAGCCATGTTTCATATACACATATCAAATTCCAGCAAAGAACATGCCCACTGGGGCTAGAGTGATAGTACAGCAGGTAGGGCATTTGCCTTGCACACACCTGACTTGGGTTCTGACCATCCCATATGGTCTCCCGAGCACTGCTAGCAGTAATTCCTGAGTGCAAAGCCAGGAGTAACCCCTGAACATCCCCGGGTGTAACCCCAAAAGCAAAAAAAAAAAAAAAACCACGCCCACCCTGATTCCCAACAAAAGTTCCAGGTGACACTCACACAAAGCTCAGCTGCCGATATAAAGCCACTGCTGTCCGCATCATATTTGCGCCAAATCTGAAATACACAGAAGCTATTACTCCTCAAGCAATTTGGGGTTGACTGGTACTGCATAAAGCATGGCAGAGTGTCAGAAAGCACCACTCCTCCAGGAGTAAGTTGAGATTCTATCCTTGGTGGTCGGAGAGACTGGCGCAATGCTCACTGGAAGCCAACCAGGACCCCGGAGCCCTGGCTGACTGGGATCTTCTGGGCAGCTCGACGTGGAGAGGTACGAAGGCATGGTCCCCACTTTGCAGTAACGTGGCAAACTATGAAGCCTTCTTTGTATTAATACCTGAAAACGGATACTCCAAAACGAACTTTTTTTTTTTTTTTCCTATATCTTTTTTTTTTTTATTATTTTTTTTAATTTATTTATTGAATCACTGTGGGAAAGGTTACAAAGCTTTCAGGTTTATGTCTCAGTCATGCAAATATCAAACACATTTCCCTTTACCAATACTTATTTTTTCCCATGAAGAACCCCAATAAAACCCCACCCCCCACCCCTCCCCGTCCCTGTGAGGCAGATGAATTCTAGTTAACACTCTATCCGCTTTGATTAGATTGTTTCAATAAAAGATTCACCACTATTATTTAGAGTTTACCCCCCCCCCCAAATCAGACATGCTGAAAAAGCATTGTGAAGTGATTTGCTTTCTACAGCTGGGTTCAAGAATTAAATGTTGGTTTTGGATTTCTGCTATTTTACCTATTGACCCTGGAAGTATTTCTACTGAAAGTCAGATAGTTAAGAAATTGGTTTCTGTGTTCTGGAGTTGTGGCCGTGCTGGAGAGCCGCTCGTGGGGGGCAACTGGTGGCCTCGGTAGGGCGTGAAGGGCGGAGCGAAACGCCCCCCTTCCCATGAGGTTTTAGTCGCCCCCACACTCCCGGCTCATACCTGCTGTCCACAAGGCTCCCATGTGGCCGCCATCTTTCTTTCCAGAGAGGAGAGGGCGAATGGGGCAACACCCTTTCCCCTCCGGCAGACTTGATGGGCTGGATCAACGCATAGTCCGTTCACTTTTCTGCTCCAAGCTGCTGGGTTCTGCATTAAGTCCTTGTGCTTCTGGGGCCATGGCCGTGCTGGAGAGCCGCTCGCGGGGGGCGACTGGTGACCTCGGTAGGGCGTGAAGGACGGACCGGAACGCCCCCCGACCCATGAGGCCAAAACGAACTTTTTAAATGTATAGGAAGTCCATTTAACATGGATTCTTTACAACTGAGACCTCGTGTGAAATGGTCCATAACAAAAGCATACTTTTAATAACATGTCCTTCCATTCAACGTCTTTTTCTGGATTCTTTTTCTCAACATCATGACATTGAAGCTACTGTATTCAAGAATCTGTTGGAGTGTGTCTGACCTAGAAATGTTTGAAGAATGAGGGCTGCAGCGATAGTCCGGCGGGTGGGGAACCTCTGAGCATCGCTGGGCGTGACCCAAGACGCAAAAAAAAAAAAAAAAAGAAAAGAAATGTTTGAAGAAGTCCAGCATGACAGGCAAGCACCATCCAAAAGGGGATTGAAGACTGAAGCCAGATATACCTCCGTTCCAGGTATACCCGCTGATGTCTGGCAATTTAGCCTGTGGCTCTTACAAAATTTTACACATGACAAACAGAAGACAAGTCCTGGGCCCTTGCAAGAAGAGAAGTCATACTATTCATCTGCATGAAATTCAAAACCCCAGTAGTCAAACTTAAGTGATGAAGCCCTCCAAAATAAATTGCATTGCAGAAAAGGCCTTAAGGGAATTTTGCCTTCACGACCGTGACTCCAGGTAAAGGAAACAACTTCTCAGTAATCCCCAGGAACAAATCAACCCTTTCATTGGTCGGAGGAGAACTTTTCTCTAGCTGAAGACCTGCTTACTAACTGGAGAGAACAGTTTAAGGAGATAAGAGGCTGTTTTCTTTATTAAGTGTGGTTTTACTAACTTGGATTATTCTTTTTTTTTTTTTTTTTCTTTTTGGGTCACACCCGGTGATGCTCAGGTGTTACTCCTGGCTCTGCACTCAATAATTCCTCTTGGTGGTGCTCAGGAGACCATATGGGATGCTGGGAATTGAACCTGGGTCAGCAGTGTGCAAGGCAAACACACCCTAACCTGGATTATTTTGTGCACAAAACTCACAAGTTGACAAATGATCTAACTCTTAAGTAGTTCAAAGTAATTTTCATTTTTCATTTCATTTCATCATCCTGTTAATCGTCGATTGCCTCGAGCAGGCCCCAGTAACGTCTCTTTCATCCTAGCCCTGAGATTATATTCAGGGCTCTTTAGGAGAATGAGACCCATCATTGTTACTGGTATTTGGCATATTTGGTAGGCCACGGGGAGTTTGCCAGACTCTGCCCTGTGGGCAGGCTACATTCGACAGCCTGCAAGTTTGTCCAAAGTAGGAATGAGATAATAAGATGTCTCAGTGGGCAGATTTATTTATTCATTCATTTATTCATTTATTTATTTTCTCGATGTGCAATGGGTAAGCTAAGTCGGACCACAATTTTGGACCACATTCCGGATCTTGACTGAAGAGCATCCAAAGAGAGAGAGAGAGTGGGATATATTCACGCTGAGGCCTAATGCAGAGTAGTTTGGAAGTCTACTCCTTTCTGTCCCTGCTCAGAATATTTCTTTCTGAATTCGGCCAGACTTACAAAATCAACTAGTTAGATGTCATTTAAATTCTAATCTTATGGCATAATATAACAAAACTAATGAGGACTTTTAGTGAACAAAAAAATGTACATGCATCTTTATATGATTCTTCAAATATTTTGTGACAAAAGTATCTTGAAACCCTATGGCAACTGAGCCTCTGGACAAAGATTTTTCTGTGCTTATCCAGCATACCTACCTTCAAAAAATGAAAGATAAAGAGAGTTCCAGGCAAACAGAGAATTTTACCAGCACATTCTTAATAAAGAATATATTCTAGGAAGGGAAAAACATGAAGAGAGAATAGCTGAGATACAAAAGGGCTGGAGAACGACAATGAGAAACTGAGCAAAAAAATAAATCTTGACTGCACACAATTTGTGTGGTTAAGAAAACAAGATAGAACCAATGAACCGGACAACAGTAGTGTGTAAACTGGTATGTTAGGGTTAAATTGCTTAAAGGTTGGTGTGAGAGAGAAGGTGCTTACCTTACACGCAACCAACCCAGGTCAGCTCCCTGACACCTTAAATGTGTACAGGACAGAAAGTGTTTGCCTTCCGTGCTACCAACCCAAGTTAGCTCCCTGGCACCTTAGACGGTGCCCAGAGCACCACAGGAATGACAGAAGGAAGCCCTGAGTACAGCTGGGTACGGGCCCCAAATCCCAGAGTAATTAGTCAATTAAATAAATAAAATGTTGTAAGATTCTGTAGCTCAGGGGCAGAACAAAATTATTAGATTAAACGTCTTAACACATATAAGTCTGTCACGGTATTTCATTAAACAATTAAAAATTTAAAAAATAAAAAAACAAAATAAAACTTCTTAACATATATAGGATCGGAATAATTTATAACAATTGGATTTTCAGAAATGAATTAGGGTTGGAGAAGTAAACAGGCTCATGTCTGCATGCCCAGGTTCAGTCCCCAGCACGTGATTCCCTGAACACTAGTTCTAGTGACTCCCTAACAACAAGCTGGGAATAATCCCTGAGCACCACCCAGGATGGCCCTAAAACACAAAAAGAAACATACATTTTAAAATCCACAACAGGGGCTGGAGCAATAGCACATTTGCCTTGCATGTGGCTGACCCAGGTTTGATTCCCAGCATCCCATATGGTCCCCTGAGCACCACCAGGAGCAATTCCTGAGTACAGAGTCAAGAGTAACCCTGTGCATTGCCAGGTGTGACCCAAAAAGTAAAAATAAAATAAAAATAAAATAAAATAAATCTACAAAAGTAGTTTGTAATTGGGTCCAGAATCAAGTGATAAACTGGAAGGATGGTGAAAGAATGGAGTAAGTTTTGTACCTTAAAAACAAGAAGGCTCCGGGGGCTGGAGCGATAGCACAGCAAGTAAGGCGTTTGCCTTGCACACAGCCAACATGGCCGACACAGGTTCAATTCCCAGCAACCCATATGGTCCCCCGAGCACCGCCAGGAGCAATTCCTGAGTGCATAAGCCAGGAGTAACCCCTGAGCATCACCGGTGTGACGCAAAAAAAAAAAAAAAAAGGCTCCTAATACTTTTTTCCGATTTCTCAAGGTTATTTAAGATAATACAGGGTCTACCAACTTAATACTCTTTATTCTGCTTGTTAAAGGAATCATATATTTATTGTATAAAAATTAATAAAATACCAAATGTTGTTAACTATAATCCCCTGAAATCTTCAGTGATAATCACTTACCATTTCTCTGTTTCCTTTTCATCCTCTTTCTATTAAGTTCATGGCAAAACTGGATTATATTTTATATTGTCTATATACTTGGGTGCTCTATTTTTTATTTTCAGACAAAACTATCAAAACACTAAAATTTTATTGTCTCTGACTACATGGATGGACTTTGAGGGCATTGTGTTCCATGAAATAAATCAGAGAGATAAGACAAGTAAAGGAAAACAAACACACACACAAAAAGCAAACTGCCAGAAACAGAACAAATTGATACTAACCAGAGGTGAGAGATGAAGGAAGGGGGTAAAATGAGTGAAAGGATCCAAATGTACAGACTTTCATTGGCTAGTGAAGATAGCTCAAAGGGTTGAAGCTTATGGAAGTCTTGAGTTCAGTTCCCAAGCACCTCAGGGGTGGGAGGAGGAGGGGAGGGAGGAAGGAAGGGAGGAAGGAAGGATGGAAGGAAGGAAGGAAGGAAGGAAGGAAGGAAGGAAGGAAGGAAGGAAATAACGAAGGAAGGAAGGAAGGAAGGAAGGAAGGAAATAAGGAAGGAAGGAAGGAAGGAAGGAAGGAAGGAAGGAAGGAAGGAAGGAAGGGAGGGAGGGAGGGAGGGAGGGAGGGAGGGAGGGAGGGAGGGAGGGAGGAAGAAAAATACTCATACTCGGGGATGTTGTGCACAGCACGGTGATAATAGTCAATATTGTATTGCTATATATGGGAACAGATGTTAGCTGGATTTATTCTGATCATTATAAACAGAAAACCATTATATTGTACATTAATTTGTGTTATATCACAATTTTTAAAAATGAAGAAAGAAATTTACTTTCTTGCATCATTGAACCCTGCTGAAATAAAGGTGATGGCAGATGTGTGTAAAGGTGACAGTGACAAATGAATTAACAGTCTTTGTAAGTAAGCAAACACACTTGTGGGCACTTTAAACATAGTTAAGATTATTTTGAAAATGTCACTCAGAATAATATGTGAATAACTGTGGTTCTGTATGTACTTGAAAAGTACAAAATATAGAAAAATACAGGAAACATCTAAAATCCTGCCACTTAAAAACAACCAATATTGGTGGTGGAACATTGTAGACCTGAAAGTCAATCATAAATATCTTTGTAACTTTGTAATTCATGGTGATTCAATTTTAAAAATTCATTTAAAATGTTCATTTGAGTAGAGAGGGAAAAACATTTATCATGTGCATTGTATATTTAACTCTTGTATTTATTCAGGTGCTAAGGTGAACATTTTGGCAAGATTGAAATGAAAGTAGAATTTTATTTCTGAACATTTATATTTTTGCATGTCACTAGATATTCTTTGAGAACTTGATCTTCAGTGATACGTGATGGTCCACAATCAGGTTTTAGTCTCTGGAGTCTCCAGCACTAAGAGACTACCAGGCACGAGGCAATGGCTCAGGTATATTTGGAATGAATGAATCAGGTTAATGCGTGAAAATTTGCCTAATTTTTTCTTCATTGGCAGACTTTACTTTAGCTAAACATTCACAGCATTTAATAAATATGACTGTGCAGAAAACTTGCCAATATCTCAAAGACACATATCTTTAAAGGTACCATTTTTAAATCAAAGGGTAAAGATGTTTAAAAATTAACTCTAGAGAATAAAATCTTAAAGAACCTCGATGACATTTTTACAGCATTGTTTTCCACGAAATTCAACCAATGTGTGTGTCCACCCACAGTAGCTGAGCAACAATCTCATTGCATCCTTGCCCAGACTATTTTTTTTTGGGGGGGGGGATCCTCAAAACAAACTCCACCAAGTGAGCTGCTTTTAATTCACATGTCTTTGGTTAACTGTCACCCCAGAATTCTTCCAAGAATTGTCTGTACCTGCTTTAGTCATTCCCTACGACCTTCACTTAGGCTGAAGGGATCTATAGGGCAAAAGTTATTTTTCCTAAATGGGAAATTTAGTAACTTTTTCAGGACTAGGACCCTCAAGGCAGTAGCAGTGTGGAGTCCTTCTCCCTGGCCTGGGGCAGCCGGCTCTGCCTTCCCTCATCTGTACAGAGTGATAGACAGTAATGTCCAGAGGCTAAAAGGGGCTAAAAGACCCTTCAGCTTGAACGGGAGCTTTGTGACTTGCAAACCAAAACCCTGCTGGCTGGCTGCAAGCTCAGAGTGATGTTTGTCCTTAAAATTAGAATTAGTTGCCAACACTTGAAAGGGTTTTACACTCCAGATGTCGAGATAGCATTCTCAAAAAACAAGACACAGGGGCTGCAGCAACATCACAGTGGGTAGGGCGTTTGCCTTGCACACAGCCAACCCGGGTTCTATTCCCAGCATCCCATAGGGTCCCCTGAGCACCTCCAGGAGCAATTTCTGAGTGCATGAGCCAGGATGTAACCCCTGTGTATCGCCAGGTGTGACCCAAAAAGAAAAAGGGCTGGAGAGATAGTACAGCGGGTAGGGTGTTTGCCTTGCACGCGACTGACCCAGGTTGGATTCCCAGCATCCCATATGGTCCCCCTGAGCACCGCCAGGGATAACTCCTGAGTGCAGAGACAGGAGTAACCCCTGTGCATCGCCAGGTGTGACCCAAAAAGCAAAAGAAAGAAAGAAAGAAAGAAAGAAAGAAAGAAAGAAAGAAAGAAAGAAAGAAAGAAAGAAAGAAAGAAAAAGCAAAACATGATTTTGTATAATTAGACATAGCTCTCTCTGGTCTCCCTCATCCTTCCTCCCATCACTGGTCTCAGTGTACCTGCCTGGCTGCTTGAACAGCCCCGAGTGAGAGCATTCATCCTCCCAGAACAGCCTGGGTCAGCGGCGCCAACATCCTGACAGATTGCCAAGGGCAGCATTGCTTGGCTTTGTCCTCTGTGGGCAGCTCTGCTTTGGGAACTACACAGAAGTGGTCAGAACCACAACCTGGCCTCTAAGTCCTCCCCCTGCACAAAGACACAACTACTCGCCTGCATGAACTCCACGCTGCTGTCCAAGGGCGTTTCCCGGCGAAAGACAAGAAGAAAGTTTTCATCTTCAGACAAAAAGATGCCAGCAAGCTAGACAAAAGGGGGAAATTGTCAATGATATGAGCCACTTCTTAGAGTAAAAACTTCAGTGAGCATTTTAAGGGTCCGAAGAACTCTGATCTCCCAGGTTGGGGAGCCCAGAACGCAGTTCTGTACCCATGATTCACTGATTCTGTGACTTTGATTCACTGATACCCAAAAGGTATTGCACCAGCATGAGGGATAAGATTCTAGGTTTACCTGCCCTCTGTGAGTTTACAATCCAAGATAATAGTACTCATCTTAGTAATAAGCTTGTTAGGACTTAGTGTGTTCCTGGCAGTGGTCTAAGAATCTCCATTATTAAATTAAGCCACTGATGATCATAAAATTAACAACAGCCAATAACTCTTACTTGTGCTACAAATTGTTCTAAATTCTTAAACATAATCCTAACAACAACCTATAGAGTACACGACTGTTATTAGCATCATCATCTCTTACTCAAGGAGCTACAGAGATTAGAAATTTTTTCACATTGGTCATTACTAAATGGTGAAGTCAGGATTTGAATTGCGCCCATATTTTCAATCATTATGCAAAGAAGAATGATGAGGCTAAAGAGAGATTATCTGGGGAAATATATATGCCCAGAACAGCTCCCTCCATTAGCAGGTATCAATAAATGTAGGTTCATTTGCAGTAGACAGCTGCTGTTTTGTTTTGTTTTTAATGATCTTTCCTACCTCCACTGGGAATGGATGCTGAAGCTGAAACTCATTTGGCGCAAGTAGGTTTTTCCTGAAATTAGGATTCAATTTGAACAGGACACCGTACAGAGACAAATGTTGGATCAAGGAGCACAAAGGCCTCCAGCATACCAGCTCCCCAATCATAAAATAAGTAAAATATTGATTGACCTAAATAAAATAATGGAAGAAACCTATACTGTTACTAAACAAATGGAAATGGAGAATTATTACTTCAAAAATGTTATCAGGACCAATCTTGACAGAGAGTTCTGATGTCCAATCTAATGTAAAATTTCCATTATTAAATTTTTTTTCAATAATTTTTTAGAGGAAACACTAGTCAAGATGTGTGCTGAAAGTAGATAAAGGACCAAACGTGATGGCCTCTCAGTATCTGTGTTGCAAAACATGATGTCCAAAAGTAGAAAGAGAGTATGGGGGAAATTGTCTGCCATAGAGGCAGGGAAGGGTTGGAAATTGGGGGTATACTGGGGAGATTGGTGGTGGAGAATGTGCACAGGTGGAGGAATGCATTTTCGATCATTGTATGACTGAAACTCAAACATGAAAGTTTTGTAACTGTACCTCACGGTAATTCAATTTTTAAAAAAAAGTGCAGTTGTAGCTTTACCTCTTTCATCTGTATGCGCCCATCCTTGGAGTCATGCTGAGTAGCCAAAAATTGTTGCTTCACTTTCTGCATGTTTTCTTCCATGACTTCATCCTAAAGTAAACCAGACAGAATCACATTAAAACCACTTCCAAAGTGTTGTAACAATGTCTACTATTCAGAGCCTACAGTCTGATAGCTACGCTGGTCTGACCTGGATGGTAAGTAGGTTACTATGCTATTGAAATGGCTCCTACCCTGTTGTCGAAGAGAGACCAGAGATAGAGAATTTTTGGGTAAGAACTCTTTAATCAAAATCTTCACTAGGTAAGATTTAAAGCTAATAAGTTCCTAAAATATGGATGAAGTGAGGTCTAGAGAGGAGAGTCATGAAAGAATGAACATGAACATCAGTTGTGAAAAAAAAATTGTACTATGGTTAAATATAAAAACTTTATTCCCAAGAACTGAGAGGGGTTTTTTTTTTTTTGCTTTCTTTGGAGGGTTGGTCATACCTGGAAATGCACAGAGGTTACTACTGGCTCATGCTCTCAGGAATCACTCCTGGCGGTGCTTGGGGGACCATATGGGATGCTGGGAATCGAACCCAGGTCAGCCACATGCAAGGCAAACGCCCTACTGCTGTGCTATCGCTACAGCCCCAGGTTTTGTCTATTTTTAAGAACATTTGAAAATTTGCTATCCTCTCTTTACAATATCCAGAATTTGGAAAAAACCTGAGTGCCCGAGAACAGATGACTGGTTAAAGAAACTTTGGTACATTTACGCAATGGAGTACTATGTAGCTGTTAGAAAAGATGAAGTCATGAAATTTACATACAAGTGGTACTACAAGGAAAGTATCATGTTAAGCTAAATGAGTCAGAAAGAGAGGAACAGACATAGAAAGATTGCATTCATCTGGGAAATATAAAGTAACAAAATAGGAGACTAACACCAAAGAATGGCCTGAGATTATTACCAGGAATTTTGCTCCATGGCTTGGAGGCGAGTCATACATGCTAGGGGAAAAGGGAGCTCAGATAGAGAAGGGAGCACCAAATAAAGGGTGTTGGGAGGATCCTCCCAGGATGGGAGAAGTATGCTGAAAGTAGACTATAGACCAAACATGATTGCCACTCATTGCCTCTTTTGCAAACCACAACACCCAAACACCCAAAAGGAGAGAGAGAACAAAAGGAAATGCCCTGCCACAGAGGCAGGGGGTGGGGGGTGGGGGTGGGAGGGATACTGGGATCCGTGGTGGTGGGAAATGGGCACTGGTGGAGGGATGGGTATTTGGTCATTGTATAATTGAAACCCAAGCACAAAAATTTATAAGTCTACAACTGTACCTCATGGTGTCTCACTAATAAAAATTAAAAAGAAAAAAAAGAAAATGTGCTATCCTTACAGTTCACTGTAGCTATGACTTATTCCTTGTATCATGTATGCTTGACAAATCTTCCCTCTATTTGGGTACAGGGATCTTTAAAAGTTAATGTACATATTTCAAGAGCACAGGAGAGGGTTTTGTCATAGAGGGGGGTCAGGAACACTGTAAAGATTGGTTTACATTTATACCTGAGCTCTAAGTTGTATTTAATTATTATGTTGGTTGTGTATCATTTCCTAAAAAATATTGAACCTCATCAAATAAAATGAATGATGGAAAAAAATATTTTAAACGTGTTTTTTTTAATCAAAGGAGTAGCAAACAGACTGATGACCCAGAGCCTTAAATCTTTAAATGCCTCATACCTTTTTGAGCAAAGTGGGCTGCCTTATCTCTAGATTTAAATCCATTTAACAAAGACATCACCAAGGAGACATTCAACACAGTTGTTTGAATTTACTCTTTGCAATTCTGAGTGGATGACAGATGTTACACTGAAATTCAGTAACCCGAATGTCTAATGCTTTGTGAAACCTGCCTAAATCCTCCCATGTTGCTAGGAGAGGAAGAAAAAGTAGATGCATGCAAGGAATAACAGAGGTCAGATGGGATTAGAAGGTGCAAAGCAACATAAAAACTGGCTACTTCTTGCTATTCAGTAAGATATATAAATCAACACTTAGTGGTACAAGTACTTACATCAGTATCCAATGTTGACAACATGTGATTCAAGAAAACATCCAGCTCCTTTTCTTCTATGTAGCCTTTTTCTAAATGCAACAAAATATGCATAAATAATAGTCACTTATAGAGATAATATATAGCACCATATTTTTCTAAATTTGCTCTTACCCACACAATCCTTTTTTAAAAACATAATTATTGTGATTTGCGATTCTAACAATTAAATACCAACATTAACCTCTAAAAGCCATGGTTCAAAATTGTCAACACACCTACAAGAGTAAGAGCTGTCTTTTACACATATTTGGAAAAATATCATAACTATACTAAATACATGAGTTTAAATCCCCAAACTTGAGTTTTCAAAAAATCCAAACCAAAAATTTGCGTAGAAGCTTGGGGAGAACTCAGCAAACTTAAGTACTGAATCTCAGCAGTTAAAGATATTGTGTGAGTTGGTTTAAATATTAAGAAGGACAACGCCAAGGTTAAGTATGTTTTTTCCACATAATTTTTTTTGGAGAGTGGCAAGAGTGTCTTTTTGAAATTTAGTGAAAGTTATCCCCCTTTACAAGATTGAAGGGTACAGCAAAGTGATTGATAAAAGTGAAATGACTCAGGGCAGAGTGACTCTCCAGCACTTGTCTTGCACTGGGCCTGCCAGGGATTCCTGGCATCCCATATGGTTCCCGCCCTTCCCGCCCCCCCCCCCCCCCCCCGCCCCAGCCCACCAGGAGTGATCCCTGAGGGCAGAGCCAGGAGTAAGCCCTGAGCATCACCGAATGTCCCCCTACACACACACACACACACACACACACACACACACACACACACACACACACAGTGAGCTGACTCATTAATTTAGATAGCTGAGTATCGGGGCACAGAGCCTCATATATAATGATACTTGCTTTAATACAGAGAGAGAGAGAGAGAGAGAGAGAGAGAGAGAGAGAGAGAGAGAGCTGACTCATTAATTTAGTAGCTGAGTATCAGGGCACAGAGCCTCATATATAACGATAGCAGTTTTAATACACACACACACACACACACACACACAGGTTGTGAAGGTGACATGAACCCCTCCTTGCAGCGGGACCTTTCACAAGGGTTTGTGTAACCCCAAGAGAGTCTCTTGGGTACGCTGGAAGGCAGCTTTTTTACGCAGCGAAAGACGCGCCTCCGGGAAGGGGAAACTCTAGATTCTTTGGGCGTCTGCACCTGATCGTGTAGGGGGACTCGTCCTACTCACCGTCGGGGTCCGAGCGCTGCCAGGCCTGCCAGAAGCCCGCGGCGTCCAGGCGCCCCGGGGTGGTGGGTTCGCGGCTGCTGTCCATGGTACCCGGCGAGCAAACGGCAGCGCGGGCCGGCGAGGACGCACCCAGAGAACTTCACCAGAGACTCTCGGAGGCAAGTTTCTGCTCGGGCGCAGGCTCCGAAGGCTCGAGGATTTGCTCTGAGCACCTAGAGGTGGCAGGAGGGCGGCTGGAGAGCCGGTGGGTGGCGCCGTGCGGCGGGAGACTGTCCCCGCGGCTCTGAGCAGCATCAGTCGCACGGACCGCCCGCGCCCCGCCAGCCCCGCCCCGCGCGCTGCCAGCCACCCAGGACAGGGCTGTCGTCTGCCTTGGGGACAGAATTCAGACGGAAAGAAACGATCTCAGGGGCCCACAGTTGACAAACTCCAAGAAAACCACCCGCTGGCATTTGACTCGACTTCCCAACTCGTGTGTCAAGGGGTTTTCTAGAGCGATTTCCCTGCTTTAAGGGCTTGCAATAGCACGGTGAGGGCGTTTGCTCCATAACGCATTCCAGGGGTCTGGTTCCCAGCACCGCATAGGCACCACACCCTAAGGACCCAAACCAAAAAAAAAATTGTATTTAAATACAGGGTTGTAAGAAGTGTCCACTTCTTGGACTTAGGTGATTTAGAAACGCAGTGTGGGGAAAAGATGGGAGCCAGGGATCCCTCTGGGAATGGTTAAGAGACAGATAGTATGATGGTTGGAGGGATCGCTTGGGACGGTAGATGCGTGCTGAAAGTAGACTATGAACCAAACAGGATGGATGCTTAGTGCCTATATTGCAAACCATAACACCCAGAAGGAGAGAGAAAGTAAGAGGGAATGTGTCTGCCACAGAGGCAGAGGGTGGGAAGGGGTGGGAGTGAGAGCAGGGATACTGGGAACATTGGTGGTGGAGTATGGACACTGGTAGAGGGATGGGTACTGGACCACTGTTTGAAATGTAACCAGGAAAATTTGTAAGTCTGTAACTATCTCACAGTGATTCATTAAAACTAAAAAATAAATAAATTTTTAAAAAAAAAAAGCTCTGACTCAAGTAAAAGAAAAAAAGAGGGATAGTTCTGGGCATGGCTAAGAGATTATCAAGAAAAGAGTGGACAGGAATAAGTGAGTTCTAATTGTCCAAGGTGTGCACATTACCCTCTGTAGTGAGTGCTCTTCGGATTTTACTAGAAACTGTTACTTAAGCAGAGTGAGTGCCTTGCATGTGGCCACCCCTTTTTTAATCCCCAACCTGCCTACAGTCCTGAACACTGCCAGGGGTCACTCCTAAGCACAGAGCCAGAAAGAATCCCTGAGTATATGATATGATACAGCCCACAAATCCAACCCCCACTAACCGCTCCCAACAGAGTAATTAGATTGTGGAGGGAAATTCAAATTATGCTGTGTCCCGCCAGGAAGAGTCAGGGACAGGCATGCTGAACAATAGCAAAGTTCTTAGTAGAAGTTTCTGTGATTTTTTTTAATCCTTGGAAGACAGCCGAAAGACCAAAAGATAAATCATTTAGAAAATCTCAAGTGTTTCTACGATCAGAACAGTTCAGACTTGAGGAACTTCGCTGAACGGTAGAATGTGTTTTGCTGGTATAAGATCCTGAATGTAGTCCCTGACAAAGTAAACCAAAAGAAAACCTTGATGGAAATTTTATGAAATTGTAAACTAACTGGCACAAAAATTTAATGCCCATGCACTTAGGATTTTTATTGAGGAGCCTCTAGAACAGGGTTGAGTATTAGGAGAGTTGGATCAAATATAAATCTTCACTATGGCATTGAATTCTGATATGAGCATTCAAGTTAATTTTTAAGTATGCATGTTTAAGCCATCTAAACTAGAGGAGTAGAATTAGGCATATCGAATATGACCAGACTCTTCTGAGTTAGGATCCAAGCTCCATCATCCACTAGCTTTGTGACCTGGCTCATTAGTATTTTGCTCTCTGAGATTCAGTTTTCTCATCTATAAGATGAAGATCATGATATCTGCTTGGAAGGTTGACATGGGCCACACATAACTATGTAATAATAGATTACAATAGTTACCATCGGTCCCAGCTCCACATCTTCTGATTCTTGCTCACCCATCTGTCCAGGTGAGACTAACCTCCTGGCTAATACCTCTAGGACCTTTTTTTGGAACTAGAGGCAGATTCCCCTTCCTTCTGGCTAGCACTGCCTATTCATCCATGTCAAAGAAAAGAAAATAATATAAGTTTCTTAGTACAGTTTCAACCAGCAAATAGTGTAAGTTAATTACTAAAATGATGTATCACCCATACATATGCATTTGGACAATGCTAAAATATACTCCAGAATTTTTGAGGCAGGTAGAAAAACAAATTTTTTTGTTTATGGAAAACAAAAGGAGAAAAGGAAAAAAAAGAAAGCAGAAGAATACTTAAATAAATTGTGGCTTATCCTTAGATGGGTTCTGTAAATACACAGGAATCTTGATTTTGAAATCTGGTAAGATAAAAATGTTTACATAGAAGGCAATAATTTAAATGTGAGTTATATGTACTATAACCCAATCCCATAAAACACCTGTTCTACACATTTAAAAAGAGAGAAAAGATATACATTGACTGTGAAAATTATGTTTATATGTTGATTGAAGAAAAGAAAGACTTGTGAATGATTTTGGTATTGCTTTTTGTGGAGCTGGAGAGATAGCACAGCGGGTAGGGCGTTTGCCTTGCACGCAGCCAACCCAGGTTCGATTCCCAGCATCCCATATGGTCCCCTGAGCACCGCCAGGAATAACTCCTGAGTGCAGAGTCAGGAGTAACCCCTATGCATTGCCGGGGATGACCCAAAAAGCAAAAAAATAAAAATTTCTTTGGAGAAATTACCAAATCCTTGACAGTGAAAAGGCCCATTATGAAGTTATTTAAGGATTGTGGGTGGAAGGTCATGGGGGAAACGACCCAGTGATTGAGGCGACTACTTTTTTTTTTAAATTGAATCCCCTTGAGATACAGTTACAAAGCCTTCATGTTTGAGTTTCAGTCCTACAATGATCAAACACCCATTCTTCTATCAGTGCACATTCTCCACCACCAATGTCCCCAGTATCTCTCCTTTCCAACCCTCCCCCTGCCTCTATGGCAAACAATTTCCCCTATACTCTCTCTCTACTTTTGGGCATTATGGTTTGCAATACAGATACTGAGAGGCTTTCACGTTTGGCCCTTTATCTACTTTCACCACACATCTCCCATCCCGAACTTTCCCATCACTGACTTAGTGATCCTTTCTCTATTCCACCTCAGCCGACTAGTTGCAAGTGTGATGTTAAGAATTAAATTCCAAAAAAAAAAAAAAAGAATTAAATTCCAGGTGACCCTGCATGCACCAAGCATTAGTCTGGCAGTTCTGCTGTTTGAGCCTAGAAGCTTTGCCATCTTAGAGCTCTGAGGTGTAGCTATCTCGTAATTATGGGGACCCCAGGAATGAGGAGACGGTCTGTCGGTACAGGATGATCAGAGACTAATGCATCCAGCAAGGCCAATACAAAGCCACCCATAAGGCCACAGACTTGTCATCATAGGACAAGGTTTATTAGGAAAGGCAACGGTTAACAGAGGCTGAGGGAGAATGCCTGCGTGCACAAGCGAGCAGGTAGTGGAGGGAGACGGGATATTGCTGTGGGCTGCTAGAGCACTGTCCTTGATGCTCTATGGCAGAGGCAAGGTTGAAATATTGCTGACACCCGAAGATGTCTGTTGCCCACATCTCAAACCATTCGCTGCTGGCAAATCAAGGCCAATTAAACTGTGTTTTTCTAAGAAATGTCAGATTCAGCTGGCAACAGCTCAGTTCTCAGAGAAGTTGGGACCCAGGGAACTCCCTACAGGCCCTCTTGTGGTCAAGGGGTTGTTTCAGGGAGAACTCCAACACTGGGACTTCTAGCAATTTCCAGCTGCACCACAGCCAGTGTGCAAGCGCTACAGCTGAAGAGGAATTCCCGGCAGGAATTCCAACTAAAAATATATGTGAAAGCCACAGCCAGCAGTACGACAGCTCCGCCCTGGCAAACTTCCCTGTGAGCACGACAGCTGAGAGTAGGACTCCAGTGCTGAGACCAAATACATGAGCCGCCAACCTGATGCATAGCGCATCCAGGGGTGTATGCACCCCCTGGGTTATCACAACATCAGCAAGAGTTGAAGGAGGGAGACAGGAGAGCCGATGGGTAGGAACCAGGAGTCACCTTAAAGACAATCTCACTGAAACGGTCTCCTATGATAGGGAGTCAGAATGAAGGAAACAGAGGATTGACTCAAGACTCATTGTCCAACCAGAGAATTCGAAGTCCAGAGCAACAGCTGATTAACTGGCAGTAAATAAGGCAGCCCGGGACTGAATTTAATCCCTTCCACAGGGATTCTGAGTTAAAGGGTATAGACTCAGTGAAGATTCGATATTGAATTACAGGGAGTCTTGGGGGATTCCAACTGGTGCTCAGGAGGTCAGGGGGGCTTCCTGCTAACTCTCAGTGCTAGAGATTATTGGACTCACACTGGCAGAACTCATGGACCTGAGCACCCACAGCCAGCGGTCATCACAGGACCTCCAGGGCACCCAGCGGTCATCACAGGACCCCCAGGGCTGATCTTGGCAATGCTCAGGAGACTGTTCAGTGGTGGGGAGCAAACCGGGTCCATCTTGCATTATCCCTCTGGCTCTTTGATACTTTCATAAAGCTCCCTTATGAAGGCCAAGGAATAGTACAACAGGTAGATTGCTTATTTTGCTCACAGTTCACCCAGGTGCAATCCTAGCACCCTGTGGATTATCCTGAGCCCCACCAGAAGTGATCCCTGAATATAAGCCAGGAGTAGTCCCTGAGCACAAAGCCAGGAGTAATTCCTGAGCACCAGTGGGTACGGCCCCCAAAACCAACAAAGGAATCTCCATTATAGACTGGATTTTTTTTCTTTTTTGCTCTTTGGGTCACACCTGGCAATGCACAGGGGTTACTCCTGGCTCTGCACTCAGGAATTACTCCTGGCAGTGTTCAGGGGACCATATGGTATACTGGGAATCAAACCTGGGTCATCCCCGTGCAAGCCAAACACCTTACCCACTGTGCTATCGCTCCAGCCCCTGGATGGATTTTTGTCTCTAAATTTTCTGCCCCTTGTATTTTGGCGATTTTATTATTTGAATATAGTTTCTCTGAAGGATAATCTAGGAA